TAAAGTTTCAACTTGGAATTCCACAGGAAGAGTTACTTCATATCCATAGGCAAGGTAGAAAGGTTTATGTCTGGTAGTATTATGCTTTATAGTCCTATAGGCAAAAAGAGCTAAAGATATATATTGTAAATAAAAAATATAGATTTATTTATTGAGTATTATAAGAAAAGATATTTTTGATAGATAGAATAGCATAATTCTCAATATAATTTAATTTTTTTAGTATTTATTTTAAGTTACAAAAATAATAAATATAGCTATATATATAAGATTAGCTCATATCCTATCAAGTATATTTTAATTAAAATTTTGTTTGATATTTTAATTTTGTAGTTTCAAATAACTGATAAAGATTTATAGGTATTTGTACTAGACTTATCATGCTGCTTTGCCTTAACAAAAATTTCTTTATTAAATTTATTTAGATAAAAAAGTATATTTCTCATATATTAACATTGATTGAACTCGAATGTGATTATATAGCATTTGCTATAAAAGAATTAAAAATAATATTATTATTATACTGTAATTTGCTATTAAATCTACTTAGTCTATTATATTTTGCTCAATATTTAACAATGAAAATAGAAATAGTTTATATAGCAAATTACAAATAATAAATATAGAGATCTAAAACTCTAGGAATTAAATCTTTACATTAAATGTTAAATCTTTATTAATAAATATATTATTTGCCTTAGTTATTCTTCAATGATATTGTACTATATAATAAAGTATATTATACATAGTATAACTGAAAGACAAATTCTAGATAAATATAAAAAATAAGTTTAAGAATACTATTTCTAATCTGGAAAAAGCAGTTCTGTTGTTTTATAGAATCTAGTGAGATAGTAAATTCTGATTTAATTAAAATTAACTGGAATTTAGAGTCTTTGTTACTACAATATACTCTAAGTACTTACAAATAAAAATTACTTTTTTGATCAAATGATAAAGATCTTCAGAAACCTCAGGTACTAGACCTTAAAAGAAATAATTTAATAGTATAAGTTAATCATCAAACTTTCTTTCTTTTATTATTATTAAAAAAAAAAAGAATATATACTATTAAACTTCAATATTTGAGAATTTTATTCATAGTAATATTTTTAACTAGTCCAAAATCATATGAATTTCAGAGATATATACTAATTTGTGAGGGTATCATATCTTTATTTGCAAGTTTTAAAATTTGTTCATAGATGTTATTAGGTTTAATTTTTATCTATAAGGATAGTATATAAAAGGTATTATTAGTATTTTTATAAGAAATAAATATAGACAAATTTGGTTTTAGTATAGAATAGAATAAAGTATTTGAAATCTTTTAGTAAAAAATATATAGTTTCATTTGTTGTCTTTTTTTTTTTAAAAAAATAAAGTATTGAAAATTATATAGATAACAGTTATTATTTGTAGATTGTAAAATTTTTACTTGATTTTATTCCAAAAAAGTACTTAAGAATGAATGTAATATAGTAATTAACAATAAATAAAAAAATTTATGTTTTTATTGACCTACCTTAAATAAATTTATTAGTATATACTAAGTCAATATTAAACATATATACAGAAAGAGTATTACTAATTTAGAAGTTATAATCTAGAAGATATTATTAATAATCAATTAGCCAAGTTAAATTAAAACATATAATAACTAGTATAACTAAAGGAAAAAATAATTTTTTTTAATGAATTAATAAAATTGGTCAAACAAATCAAATGATATTTTTACTTTACAATAATTCAATTAAAAAAAAAAATCAAATACTTACTAAACTATAATAAAATTTCAATATATGAAGAATAACTGAAATAGTATAGCTTATTAAAAATAATATTGTTTTGATAATGTATTATTATTTTTAATAATTCATTTAATTCTGCAAGCCCTTTTTTACTTATGAGATAAGTTATATTTTTTAACATAGATGCATTATTTATTTAATTTCTAGTAATTAAATCTGTAAGTGCTTTTCTATATATATTTTCTAGCTTTAGTATGAATTATATAATTAATCTAAATTATTAATAAGATCATTAATATCAAAATCCTTATTTCTATGTATAACCTCTTCATTTAAATATAAAAATTCATTGAACTTTAACTTGGAAAACAAAAAGATTAAATTTCTAACTTCTAAGCTTATCAAATTTTTATTAACTAAATCTTCTAGTTTTTCCTTATCTTCTTCTATATTTTCTTTTACAAGTTTATCCAAAAAAGAATATAATTTTTTTTACTAAATAAATCAGTTCTATTCTCTATAGAACTCATAATTCTATTAAAAATAATAATAGATCTTCTTAGTGAAGATTTTGATCCATATAATAAGTTCTAATTTAGCATTCTCAACTAAAAATAAGTATATCTTAGCTATAATCTCTAGACATTTAACACTTAATCTAAAAAAAATAGTATTTTAGTAATAATAAAAAAAATACAATAAAAGAAAAAAAATTAACATATCTAGTTTATCTTTTTTTAAAATACTAGCTTAATATGCTAAAGACTTGCTCATAGGCAGTATTATGAGGTAAAATTGAATATATTTTTAGAGTAAGAGTTTTTATATAATCTTCATTTCTTTTAAGTTCAACAAACATTTACTAATCAGTAACTGTATCAGTAGATAGAATAAACTCATCTTCTAAGAAGGACTTGTGATTTTTGTATAAATTCATTTGAGATTTCAGAATATAGTACTTATATCACCACTATCTATTTTCTTCCATATTTTTATCACCTTTTTAAAAACATAATTCTTATATATTCCAATTTCAAAAAAATCACCTATTATAAAAAAATAAAAAAATAAAATAAAAAAAAATAAAAATAAAAAAAAATAAAGTAAACTATACATATTAACTTCTAAATACTATAATAAGTTAGGTATAAAAAAAAAGATAAAAGATACTATTATCAAATGAGTTTTAGTAATTATATCTTTATTTTATATTTATTAATTAGTTATTCTTTATTTGTATTTTATAAATTATCTTATAAGTTAGCAATATCTT